TGGAATTGTTGCCTTCAACAACTTGCTAAAGATGTCCAAATTTGAACAATCTATTTCACCCCCAAGAAATAGTGAGACGGGGATTCACCCTTCCTTCCATCTGACCTGGTTCTGCCGCCCTCGAAAGACCATTTCTCATTCACACGAATTCTCAACAGACCAGATGCAGTTTGTGCACACATACATCGGCTGGGAAGAAACAAAAGTGTGGAGGATCATGAAGAACTGATGCCTCGTGAATATCTATTTTGGAAGAGAAAAGTCAAAAGCCTGATTCTAAACATGTGCGTGTAGGGGTATGTAGCCTGCATGACTCCAACAATCAACTTCCTCCTTCCAGACGATCATTCAGTTTGATTGGATAACAGTCATTCACTGGACTGTGGACGCTGAACTGCTCATATAACGTCAATTCATTTACTTGGGTCACAATGTAAGTCTTTGAACTTGAGCAGTGGAGGTTCCGTGAATGCTCACCCCTTTTATTACCAGATTCTGTCTCATCTTCTCCAGAAATGAGACAGCCAATCTTGATGTGCAAGTCGACATGGTGTCTGAAAAAAGACACAAACCCGATCATGACAATATGTGATCAGCGTTTCAGAGGTCGTTCGATGATGGCATGGTTCGAAACCTGCACTTTGCTTTGGCTCTTGGCCCCTGGCGATTGGAAGATAAGGCTCAAGGAAAAGTTCCTGATCAATCGGGCCGCGATGACTACGAGGTCGAGCCCATCGTCTGGTGCTCGAGTTAGTTCGGTGCCGTTTCGACGTCGTTCCCCAAAAGGTGCTCCGGGTGCAGCTAATATTATCTGGCCCAGCTCATGACCTCAAACAGCTCAAACTGGGAATTCCCTTCGGATGGATGGATGGATGGCTGGACAGTCATGGTTTTAGACCGCGCGAGACAACTAGAACCAACAACAAATGTCTGAGGGGGGCATGCAGCCATGGATTCTCGACGATTTCTCACACTTTCTGATACGTTGTTGAACTACACTTATTCAATCGAAACTTCAATCGCTTTTTCACAAACAAGTATCTCTCGATCGCTCTATATCCTGGCGTCACCCGAACTTCTCAGTCGAATGGCGATTAATCGGCTGTTTAGTGGTTTAGGGGGAGGTTGAAGCAGATATCCGACTTGTCGGTCTTGCGGAATTTCAGCATATTTCTCAGACAGATCTGTTTTCTTCACCGGCAGCTTGTCCGCCCTCCTTACCTCGAACTCAGGGCCTTCCTCACTAACCCCGACAGATGGTATAACATGCATTCCGGTTCTCTTCTCGTCGCCCTGTTGCATAAAGCAGCTGCATATCGGCGCAGTGTACCAACGAACGGTGACCTACGAGCAGTTTAGAGTTTGGAAACAGTCACACGCTCAACCCTTATGGCGGTACTCCTCGCCTAAGAGGACTCCACAAGAAACTGATGACGACACATTGCTAGGGATCATTTGGTTCAGACAGACATTGTTCCTCCAAAATCTCGCATGATCGAGTAATTCACATCGTAGATAAATTCAGAGTGTGTTTGCAATGCAAGGTTCTCATATACATCGTATGTTATATCTTTGTTACAGGGAGTTTTGTTTCATGAACGACTGCTCTTGAACATATTGCACTAAACTATTTTGGTCTGTAAATGTCTTCTGTTTATATTGAAACTAGCAGATACAATCCATGTAATAATAATCACATAACGTTGTCTTTATGTCTTTTAATTAGATAGTTTGGATTTGAATCAATATTGTAAATTATAGTTTATTTCTGTTGGGTTCCAATCTCTGATTTTTCTTTCATAACTTCATACTTCAAGTGATATTCCGAGTTCGAACCAAGCAGGAAACATGAGTTCAAAGCTCTGAAACAACCTCCATTCCCTGAGCTTCAAGTCTTTCCCGCCCCTCGTGGGAGTCTCGCAGCTTCCAATTTTCGAGAAGCATATTCCCAACACTTTGTTGACGATTCTCTCGGCTGGTCGAAATTCGCGAAGGGTTCATGTGGGCAAAATCTCATTTGCCGTGCAGATGTGCTAATGTCAAAGCGTGGAGAATAATAATGTTAGTGGTACAAGCCATTTGACCATAAACAACCAGAACTATTTTTGAGCAAACGTAAAGCGACGGAAAGCATTGGTCTAAAAATACGGGGGGTTCTGGAAACTAATGAATGACAGGATGGGGAAGTGAAGTGGAGTGGAGGCCCTTGCCCGTACGGTCGAGTAGGTGCGCAGAGCCGTTGTCGTCACTATGTAGTGCCAGGGTTCGAGGGAGGGACTCAGGGACAGTTGACGACCTCGACCCTCGACCCCTCGACCCCTCGACGCTTGATGTTTCCGGTGAGTTACATGCATTCGATCATCATCATGACCGGCTGATATTTCCCCTCGCCGTGAACCATCTGCGCGAGCGATGATGATGACTATATCCTGACGACGACGACGACGACGCCCTCGCTGGTCGAGATTCGGCCGCCCGGCTGCTTGGCCTTGACTGCGCGACGGGGTATGACTATACCCGACGACCCTAGGAACTACCGAAGCACCTCGCGACGCGTGGACTTTTTCCCGACCGACGTGACGCCCCTCCCGCTTGCTCTGGTTCAGCGCGAGGTTTGAGATTGCGAAGCCGGTCGTGAATGTTGGAGACAGGATTCGGCGTCTCCACGATTGCCTGACGGACGGTCGGGCCGTACCGACCGACTTCCGACCCAAGAATGACGAGGAGAAGGCTCCCGGGATTGACCACGCGCCTCATCCTCGTTGACGCCTTTCCCTTTCATCCACCCGCCCCGCCCCGCTCCTGGAAAGCCCGCGCCGAGATTGTGGTGTCGCGAAAGCTGACTGCGTACAGCCTGCCGGACAGCTGAAATGACCCGACCCGACCCACGACCGCTGGAGTGATAAAGATAGTGCGATACGCGACTCGCGACTCGGGCAGCACCACCTGGCGTCTGCTGGTGCACACGGGCGAGATCCGCGACCGCTGTTGGTCGCGAAGCCAGAACGACGTGGAGACTGTGCGTGCGCAACCCGACGGTGGCTCATTCAAAAGGGGCGAGTTCGTTGCCGTCGGGAGTTACACACGGCAACTCCCGACGGGAGTATCGGAGTCCCTTGAAATGAAAGATTAACAGGCCCCAACAAATAGCAGAGATAATAAAATACGTATGTATACGTATGTACCAAGGGTTGTGTACACGAAGAGAAATCAGTTCAAGGGAAACTTTCCGATTTGCCGAGCTGAACATATTCCTATCTATGAGGGTATTATCTAACAATGTGTCTCCGTAACTCTATTTTTCTCTAGCTATAAAGTCTTTGTTGGAAACCTGCACTAGAGCATCATAATCAGCTCCAGCATTCTTTGCAATTTTATCTGAAACTCTATCTCCATGCTTCGAAACTTTCCATATTTTCTCACTCCCTCATACAAAATAGTGAATTTGTGAAAATGATGCCCAATTTTTTATTGCTAAACTTTGAACAAGACAAATTTTTGAATTAGGTTTACATGTTTCGAAACTTCCGTAACAATCCTCTGATTTTATTCGTATATCTACAAGTTGACTAATTAATTGACATGGATCAAAACCAAAAGGTTACATGGATCCAGCCCTTACCAGCATCAAGTTGAAAATATGTCCTATTGCACCTAATAGATCCAAACTATCTAGGTTTAACCATGTGGATACAATAGTAGCATCCCAAAAAAAGGAAGTATTACATTATGGTTTTCTTACAGAAAGTTTAGAATAAAATTTCTAAAACAAAAATATATTCATTTCATGAAATATGCTAGACCATAGACTAAAAGTAATGAAACCTCATGGTAGATTATATCTTACTGATATTTGATGGTGTCCCATCAGATAAAACAAAACTTAACATGTCTCATAAGTAACTTAGGTTCCGATGGGGTCCCATCAAGTAAATACCTCACATGATATGTGATCATAATATCTGAAACAAAAAAATATTGGTATTCAAATCAAATACAAAGCACACATATATTTTGTATCATATTTTTATGTCGGATGTTATATATGACGCAAGAGAAAGTGTGATAACCATTCTCTTGAGCTGCATTAAACATCATATATCATGTATAGCTATCTTCTACACTCTAAATGCACATCGAGCCTTATGAGATTGATTGCATCTTAATAAAACAGAAATATATGAGTAATGTAGATGTGGTATGGTATATTAAACCAAAGAGGGAATCATAGGTTTGCACTATAGGATGGATATACATATAGATATAAATAAATCTAAATGTAAATATAAATTCAAATAACATTTATGCCTCATAGATCTAAGGTACATGAGCTCATGACAAATCCTAGTAGTCGAAGTAATGGCCAGATGCACCAAAAGTGAACTAAGAGCATTTTGAGTAGTAGGGTCATCAAGGTATAGTCTAGACATCCAGTTGAATTGGTGGACAAAGAGGAAAAAGAAGTGAGCCGATGTTGTAGCTTGCGATTACAAGACATTGTTAATCTTGAATATAACTCTAATAAATTATCTCAAAAATTAGTCTGTAAACAATCACAGTTAGGAAAGGAAACAAAATTATTTATCTCACGACAGGTAACCAAAGAGCTCTTCCCTCGTAGTGCTCTTGATTTTCTGATCCATAGTACAAAGACAGACTCTTACATTTGTCCGATGTCCTTTTATTGCTCAACAGAGTACATCGTGTAAGTGACGGGGAAGAAAAAAAACTATCTCCTCTTTAAATGCTCCCGACGGGAGTGTATGGTATGGAACCCATGTGAGCAAGCCCAGCGGTCCAGGACGTGCATGTCCAAGATGTGCGACTCGTCGTGGCCGAAGATCTGCGCAGGGCACAAGATCTAACCTGAGAACTTTAAAGTTGACCGCGAGTCGGGAGCGGGAGGGCAGCGGCAGCGGCAGTGTCCTGTACGTGCACTCTGCTGCTGTCGTTGTAGTTGTAGTTGTTGTTGCTAGGGTTTGAAAAGGGAGGGGGGGAGGGGTGGTGGAGCCGACTGGAGGGAGGGGAGGCTGTGGCGATGGATGGGCTCGCTGGCGCGCGCGGTGGCCGGTCTCAGGTTTGGGCAAATTTAAGAATAGAGGGCGACTCGAAGGAGACGGACGATCTGCATGCGATGCTATTTTGGACGTCCGCTTTGTCGCTCTCAGGGTGGGGGGTGGCGGGCTAGTGCCCAGATTGTAGGTGGGAAGACGATCCGATTCTCCTCTCGCTCTTCGTCCGTCGGCTGGCCAACGATGCCACTGCTGCGCTGCTGCTGATCATGAAAAGCTGCTGCTGCTGCTGCTGCCGCGACTCGCTGTGGCCGGCTCTGCTCTGCTCCGCCCTGCCCCGCCCGGCCCTGCTCTGCCTGCTTGCTTGCTTGCTTGCCTGCGGGCGGGAGGGAGGGAGGGAGGATTCATGGACTCGGGTTGTAGTCCGAGCGGCGAGCAGCAACAACTGGAGTCCTTGCGAGAGGGCGAATCGTGTCCGGGAGATGCCCTATCCACGACCCGTCGCACCTCCCGTCGAGGGCTCGAGGTTGTTGAGCCGTCGATCGGCCTCTCTTTCTGGCAAGTCTCATGCGCCACGAGGTTGGTCCGATGTCATGCGGTTGCTTGCTCGCCTCCCAAAAGTCTAACCTTCATCTGTTCTACGTTTAGGTTTCAGACTAGAATACGATAGACTGGATATGGAGATCCCCTTTCCGTCTGCTTTTGCTGTATGTCTACTCGATCCTTGCTTTTGACACAGGAGGGTAGAGTTGTTGCGGTGCCCCTTTACATTTTTGTTCTCTTTACGTTCGACATTTCCAGAGTGAAAATGGTGTATGAAAGTTGAACCGTGGAACAAAGATCCAAGTAGCAAAGCCGATTGCTTCTCCTTTTCGCACACATGGTCCCTGCATATAGGCTTGCTCGTAGAGTGCTTTTCAAGAGATTGTTGTTTTCTGCGATGCCATTGGACATGGACAGAGCACATTATAGTCACATGGTCCCAATCAAAACGCATGAGCAAAAGCGAGTCCTATCATAGACGTGAAGCTACCACATGGCAGGGATTTCCTTCGTGTGAGAACCAGCGGCAAACTGGAACATGTACACTCATAAGTTTGAAGCCCACATCTACTCCTGCCGCTAGCATCCGCCAATGCTCCAGCAGCCGTGCAAAAGCAGAAAATATCAATATAATAATAAAAAAAATCTCTCTGGGATGGGGCGACGTTGGGCGGAGCAATTGTTGTAGGCGGTTATTTTTTATATTTTTGGAAAGATCAAGTTGCGTACAAAGGACTGCACAGATGATTAATTTGGACCCTCTTAAATTATCTTTCTTCCACAGCTTTTGAACCTTGTAGCCCATGAGTACACTTTGTTTCTGCATAACAGTGAAAAGCTGTACCCATCGCCCTCTTTGTTCTTTCCTTGCAATAGCAAGCAAGCAATGAGAGTCGAAAGGAGCGAGCAGTGCGTTTACCTCTTTCAGAAGCGCCAACGAGCTTCGAGCAGGGAATCGGGATGCACGTACGGAATGCCGAGCCTGCGATGGGATGGCATGGCATGGGAGGAGCCTCCAAGGAACCCATGTGACAGAAAGGACAATCGCACACCGGTACGGAACAATTAGTCCACAACATATTCTCAACATCTCGCATCTTCAGGGCGTTGTCAAGCGTTCACAAGCCGATGACCGGAAAGTCAGTGAGATTCATGGAATAACGATCTTCTAAAAACGAGGCACTAATGGGCTTTCATTCCGGGATCGAGACTCAGGATACTTCTCAACGAGAGATACTACGATCTTCTTGTAACAGAACTGCCTCCAACTTCTCCCGCCATCTGTAAACATCACAGCAGATCTGATCGTAACTGAACCAAACGCTTTTTCCAATTCATCAATGTAAGAGAATCATGTATTGATAGCCTTATTCTATTTCATCCCTTTGGCCACGTCATCTTACTTTGAGTTCATGTATTCCACGTCTATGTAAGATATTCAGATGACCATGCAATCGTCTGTTTGCTTGATTCACTGGTTCAAGTGTAATCCGGGGCCAACAACAAATGAGAATCTCAAATTGCTCGTACAGTAATGTACCAATGTAAGCGGCCCAAATAGCAAAAGCTTCACTATTGACGGCCCTGTTCACTAACCATTCTTATAAGTACTTCAATAATATTACACTGTCTTGTAAGCCGGATTTACATACACCCCCGCAAGAAAACATACATCGGTTTATCTCGAGCAGGACGTCGCTAACTTCTTCTATAAAAGAAGAAGTTAGCGACGTGGCGTGGTAGCCGTGGTATCTTCAAGCTTCTCCTCATGTGGCCCTGTACCATTGCTCGGTGATTTAGTTCATCTCTCTTTCAATGTGTTCTCTATTTCCTCTCCTAGAGATGCTTGGAGGTGCTCAAAACGATGGAATTTCGATTCGAGAAGATTACCAATTGCTTTTGTATTCTCGTTACTAACGAGAGTGACAAAGAAAGGATTCAGGTTTATTGAAAGTACCTGCAAAATCTAAAATACATAAATAATGAGGGAGCCATAAAAATGGCTCCCTTTGCAAATAAAAAAAAAGAAAATCAATATGAAATTAGACATAAGGGTCTGGCTCAAAATCTTGTTGACTGGGATTGGTTCGAGCAACAGAATAAAGACCAGTATTTTAAAAAAATTCAGAAAAAAACAGTTTCAAACCAAAGATTAAGCCCTAGATCAGATATCCATGAGGAAAACATAGATGAATCATTGAACACAGTTCATACATTTCAATGAATTACTCATAAAAGTGAATTCAATTCTTACATATATGACTGCAATATTTTGAATTAGGAATTTTTTTTCAGAATATTTTCCATCTGTAGATAGATAAAATAAATTCACAATAAAAATATATTCTTAAAATTTATGAACAAAGTGGAGCTTAGAAATCTTACATCTTTCAAATATTTAGGATTTGTGCCAAAAATAATGACACAAGAATTTAGTAATAGAACCTTCAATATTGAATTTTATTAACTATTATAAAGAAAAGAATTTAAACTTAAAAAAGGCATATTGGATAGATATTCTAAAATGAAGAATAAAAATGAAATAATAAGAATCCAAATATGAAATTAAACATCTTTTAATCTTTAATGCTTTGTAAACATGAGAAAAAAAACCAAAACAAAATAATAACAAAATTTTTTTTATTACTATTAATTAATGACCATAAAAACTAAAAAATTTGAAATTTGAAATTTGAAATAATAAAATATCAAAAAATGTAAAAATAATCAGATTATTGTAGCCATATCTTGCTAGGTTTTGCTTTGGACTTATACGAATTACGTTTTAATTTTTTGTTAGAACATTATGCATTTTCTGTTGAAAATCAACTCAAAATCATAATATAACTAGTAAGATGTTTGGTGAGCAAAACATTCAACATTGTGGTCATAACTTTAAAAATATGATCAATTGCAAATAATGAACTTTCATCAATTTTTTATATATAGTATCATTAACATCTACAAGTTTGTATGAAAAAAATATATTAGATATTTTAAATAATAAAATAATTTTAATAAAAAATTTAGTGATTCAACCTGATGAATAAAATATAGAATAAAATGAATCTAAGCATGATGAAAAATTTCAATTAAAATAATATAAAAAAATATATATACAAAACCAATAATGAGATCTTGAAGTCAAAAAATAATAAATTAATTTTTAATCAATTTCAATAAATATTTCTATTAAATAATAATTAAAAATATACATATAATTAAGAAATAGATATATCAATGATTATGTTAAAACATTAGAATATCAAATTTCACCAGATAAAAAAGTTTCAACAAAAAATAATCAGCTCCAATTTTATACTAAAAATTATATTTACAAATTAGTATCATTTGTATATATGTAAATATATAACACATAACAAGTGAATTCACATTTACTTACATGATGTTGAATAACGTGTGTCCATGCTTTTGTAGAGTCCTGTATTCATACATATGTTGCATAACATGATATTAAAATAAACATATTTTATAAGAAAATTTTTATTATATCTTAACAGTAAATATCTGAACCTAAAAATCTGAAAGGATTCAAACTTTTAATTTGTCTGAAATTTTTCAATAGAGGAATAAATATTATGTACTAAACAGATTGTTCCTTATTTTAAATCAAAATATGAATGTTTAAATTTAAATTTTAACGTAATACTTAAGATTACACTTTAAATGAAAAGGCTTAAATAAAAATGAAGAAAGATAATGAGGAATTTTTATGTATTATAAAAACCTCAAGACAATCAAATTTATCCTTTGATGACATCAATTGCATTGATTTTATCAAAGTACTGTATTATGAATCATGTTATATTTTGGTGATCATTTATTAGCACTAAACAATTCTTTGATTAAGATCATTTCTTATATTAAGTGAGCTATCTTTTAATAATCTAATTCGATATGTCTTAATATTATAGCCAAACTAATTTTAAAATCAAGATCCCTTATTAAATTCTGTAATATTATTGTGTAAAAAAGTAAAAAAATAAAGTAATTCTACAGTTAATATTTTCAGCTGAGTAGAATTAAGTTCCAACTGAAACTTAATTCTAGAATTTAAAAATCTTTTGAATGTACAAATTTAGATTTTCATTCATTTCTAGGAAATATTCCATCTAATGATACTTCTATTTTTAATATCCGATGATTGTTCTAAAAATAATCCATTATTATTTAAAGAAATTATATAAGAAAATATTTCAGTATTTTCAAGCATGTTCCAATTTATTTACAGATAGATAATTGTTTTTGGATTTTTGGATTTTTTTGGTTTCACTATTAACAAAAAAATATATTTCTTCAAATTGTAAGTTCTTCCTGTCATGATAGAAACTCGAATCATCTTCATTGAGTTTCAGGTTTTCTATCATATAACTTTTGATTTTTTAAAGTAATCTTTATACATTTTTTACTTATTCACACATTCAGTGAGAATTATATCATTTGACTTTATGTACATCTTTTAGTCAAAATAAAGTAACCAGAACCATGATTTTAATATATTTCATAAGGGAATTTTTCTTCTTTGTAATTAATTTGCAGATAAAACTTATCATGTATTTATTTATGTCTCAAATACTTAACTTAACAATTTCAGATCATAGAAGAAAAAAAAATATGGCCCTCGATTCTTGTTCAGACCACATGTCATGATGTTACACGTTGCACATTTTTCATCTATCACAATGATGCCTTTGTTACTTGGTTTTTTTTAGCCGTCATCATCTTATTTACTCACATGTGATTGCATATGCACCTGTGATGCATTGAATATGTTCAATGTTTGGAGTCAAAGAGTATGAATTGTCACACATTTGTGGAGAAGGATGACGCAAAGTTACTTCAAACGCGGATGACATGGTCACAAATCATCGTGCTAAGACTATTGCAATCCATCTTAACAGATGTCCGGCTGGCTTAGGTGAGAAGGTTTTGCAAGAAGGTCACATTTTATTTCATTGGCGTTACATATGCAAGAACCACTAGAAAGAACCTGGGTCAGTTTATTATCAAATCTGACTGAAGGTAAATAAACATTTATTATTTATATATATATATATATATATTAAAGTATAATGAAATGAGATAAATCCGTGAGAGAATCAAGGTCTGTCACAATGATGACAAGTTTGGATGACAAGTTCCACCGTCGGAAGGCCAAGTCAGTTCTTTCAAGTAACGGAAATTTATAAGCCCCCTCCATAACTCCGATTGTAAACTCTATCAGATCGTCTACTTTCGTGGTGGAGAAGAAGGAGACGGGCCTTCCGATGGCTTCATGGCGGGGAGGAAACAGTAGTGTCACGAGTCGTGGAGATGTGCACAGCGTCTGCTTTGTTAGAGGAGCAAACGAGGAATATTAAAGGAAGGACTCGTTGTGCCATGCTCTCGCTACAACTGCTCGGCAGGAAGACTACCGACTGCCTTGCCAAGCGTGCTTAAAATAGGTCGGAGGGTGAACGTGCCCGGTGCATGTTCTGTCACGAAGGAAGGAATGGCGGAGAGAGACTGGAGATGGCGGAAACCCATCTCGCTTTAGTAAATGTGACCGAGTCCACGGGGATCCACCGTCGGCATCGGTGAGCTTGCCTTCGCTCCGTCCGTCCTTCCTTCCGTCCTTCCTTCCGTCCTCCCAAAATAGCCTCTCCGGGTCGGCTCCGTCCACATTGGAACAAGGCATCTCGCGAGGGAGAAGATCCGCACTGCACTGTGCTTTGCATGGCTATGGCACTATGCTCGAAGGCTTGTGTTCATGCAGTTCGGATTGGCGAGATTATGCGCGGGTTGCACATCTTGCGGCCGCGTGCTGCTGCCGAGTGTGATCACGTTCGGTTCGGTTCGGCTCGGCTTTGGCCTCAGTGGATAGAGAACGAGGTCGGCTGTGAAACTCGAGTGCTCTGCTCGCTCGTTGGCTGGCTGCCTCGGCTTTCCGCACCGGGCCATGCTTGTGGATATAAACCGATCTTGTCTACACCCCGAAACGCGATCAGCAAGCCACGGGTCCAGTCCAGGCTCATTCCCAGCCCCGCTGCAGCCAATTATGGCGCTTTTAATTCGTTCATGGGTGCGCATGTTGAGGGTCGGCTTTACCCATTTGCCTTGTGTCCACGGAAAGGACATGGTTCATAAAAGTCCTCCCGGAAGACTCGGCCTTTCCCGACACTCGTATCTACCCGAGTATCTCGCTCGCCATCTCCCGAAGTTTAGGATCTGTCAGATCATTACCTTTTCCTTGCCAGGGAAGGGGGCTGTCTTAGGGTCAATAAAATGATCCTGGCTGCTACCTGCGGTGATTTTCCAAGCTTCCTCCTGGCGATTTGACAGCTGCCGGCATACCCCGCCCCATGCTCTTCCGTCCCACGCACCGCAACGTAAACGAGTAACGGCAGTAGGCCGTTTGACTTTGCGTTTATCGCACAACATACATCTAACAAAGAACTTCCTAGCGGACAGAGATATCTCGTTCGGTGAGGGGGGTGGGAGGTGAGGGTCCGGGGTTTGGAGATATAGATCCATGGAATGCTGCTGTGCACGGCCCCAAGGGCATTGGAGTGTAGAGGAGGGGGACACGATTTGAGATTAACCCGCGCATTTTATTAACAAATACGAGCCACAGGTGGTTGAAAGCTTGAGCGCACGCACTCTGACCGACACGAGGGCAAATTTCCACAATGGTAGATCGATCGAGTACAGTTGGCCAGCAAGCCCTTGCCACACGATGAAGCAGTCAAGCGGGAAATCTAGCTTGTGTAGAATTTCTGTCAAAACTTTTCTCGGCCCACTAACTACTCTTTTCTGATAGTACTCCTAGTCTACGCGTCTAACACTCCTTCGCTTCAGATGACAGTCCCCCGTGCAAACGGAGAGAAGAGATGTTAGTGGTTGCGGGCAATTTCGCCGGATTGCAGCGCCCAAATTTGTATATATGTATCTTCCCTGCAACGGGAGTAGCTTCAGCGTTGCTCTCTCGCGCATTTCCAGAGCCACACTGCTGCTTGCTTGCTATCCTGCCAGCTACTCCTGCCCAGGGAAGTAACAAAACAACTAAGTTGAAAACCTACTCTTTACACTTGACTCCTCTTTCATCTTCGTGTGGGATCATTCAAAATCGATGCAGGAGGAAAGTCCACTGCAGGACGATATAACTGACACAGGGGTGTGGCCAACAATCCCCAAAATTGCTGCACCCGTAGTATTAACAGAAGGTGGTATATACGCCTCTCGAGGGCTTCGCAATCTACTCATCAGCAGATTTCTCGGCCGCCGAGTTTGTACCTCTCTTCGTACTCAAACCAGCTCATTTCCATCATTTCCTCGTGCTCGTACGCTTTTGCAAGATCTTCCTCGGTCAGCTCACAATCTTCTTCGTCGTCGCTGTCATCGGAAAATGTCCAGCTTCCACCTGGGGAAATTGACGAGCAAATCGAGTCAGACTTGGAGGCTTAATTGCGCTGACATCGGATTGCAACTGCCAACCTTCAAAGTTTCTACGCGTAACGTCAAACTCAGGATAATTGAAACCTCTTTTCATCAAATGGGGATAGAACTTGCATCCGTTGGAACGTTTGAAATTACCTGAAGCGCACACGACTTCCGCCTCCTCCACTTCGTCGTGGTCGTAAGGCCAGGATTTGTCGGGATTCGAATCAGAAGAGCGGATGATGAAGTCCCCATCGCGACTGCTTCGAAATTCGCCGTCCACACCCTCCACAAAGACTCCCACTGGCTCGGATTGGTTGTTCTCCTCCATGAGAATTTTAACCAGCTTCTGAGGGATTGCGGCAATTATGCGAGATTTGGCCGAATCCTCGCCCACCACGCTCTTGGTCTTGCGGGTCACCTCGAACGCGGTGTCGTCATCCTGTCGCGACCTGATGAAGGCCGTGTCGATACCGCGGTAGGTGACCACGACGTCCTCGAACCTGTGCTGGTAGAGCAGCTGAAGAAGATGAGCCCGCCGCATCTCGTTGCCGCGCCCGTTAAAAAATATCTTCATTCTGCTCGACAAAAACGTCCGTCCGTCTGTTAGTTTCTGACCCAAACCCCATGTTTCGGAGCACTCCTAATGCAGGGCCCCGACAGGTACAAGACTTGCTGTCAACTTCGGACACATGATTCCCACGCTACACAAACATCGCTTTGACCTCGTGACGACAATCTCCCGACACAGTGGACTGAGCTCCGCGTAGCACTCCAGCGCTCTTAAAATGAGGAATCTTTCATGTGAACCAGAAAGGAGGACTTCTACACCACACCAAAGCATTCTAGGGCCTCGAGCCGTCCGATCAAATGAGTTCGATAGTGTTTCGATACAACGGGAAGTAAATTTTACTACGGATTCTAGCAGAAATCCACAACTTGACGAAGGAAAGAATGCATGTAGGGAAGGTCGCGGAAATCGGGCACTTACGGGTCGACGACTGTCAAGTCTCCCTTGTAGTAGAGGGGCGACTGGTCGAGGCTTCTAGCGAACAGAAACCCGCAGGCTGCGGCCTTGTAGTTGAACTTCCAGCTCTCGTCTAGTTTGGCCTTGCGGCATCCCTCTTGCTCGGCTTTGAGTTTCCAGAATTGGTCCTTGTCGAATAATACGCAGCAGAATTTATTCATCTGCATGGGTGAGGAGGGCGAGCACACGTCGGTCAATTATACTTGACCCAAGACAACAACACTCATTTCGGCAAGAGAGCGAATTGAACGCAGTGTGTCTCCATCGCTGCAAGCTAGAAATCTGTAAACGAAACATAAATGTGAGGCCTACGAGACCTCTGACGCTGACGAACGAGCGGACAATGCAAGGTACACATGGATGCAAGGACGGATGACTGTGGATAGAAGGTGCGGGCAGGTGGTGCACCTGAGACAATCTGCACAAATCGGCCGCGGAAACCCTCCGAGCAATGTTCTCGAGCACGCGGAGCGGAAGATCTTCGAACCGCGACGATGGGTACAGATTGAGTTTGGTGACCTCTTCCTGCTTGGGAGTGGAAGGAGCCGTATCAGTGGAATCTTTCTTCTCCTCAAACATGCCTAGACCTAGAGAGAGCAAGGATCCTGCCCCTACCAATGAAGGTGCTCGCACCTCCGCCTCCTCGGGGCACCTGCTGGCATCGGGTTCAGACGCAAGGTAATGCTGAAACTCAAGCGCGCTGACGACCGTAGACTGCTGCTCCTTTCGCCGCTCTGCTGCGACCTTGGGCGCGCTCTCGAGGGCCAGGCACAGCCGCTTCGCATATGCCTCCTGCTGCTCGATTTCATGCAACGTATTGCGCTTCCTCAAGCTTCTGAAAAATGGACTAATTGGCCGCCCGGCGATAGCCACCTTACACGGGCCCGTGGACGACACTTCCTCCTCCGAAGCCATGGCAGACAGTGTGCGCTCCGCACAATCTTCTCCGAATGAAGAGACCGGCCTGTGCACGGACTGTTCGGCGACTGTTTCCGGAATGTAGGTGGGGGGGGGATGTATTTAACCGATGCTCGGCCGAAGTATCGGGTGACGAGAGAATGGCAGCCCAACAGAAGAAAACAGAGAGGGCAGCGGGTGTCTCGCACTAAGCGTGTACGGAATTTCTCAACGCGCCTGACAGTTAAAGCCCGAGGACGATGATGCTGCTGATAATGATGATGACGAAGACGTCGGCAATGAATGAAGCAAGTCCCCACGCCAAGGGAATGAAGGCGAGCGAGCGACCGAGGATTGCGCGAATAACCTGCAACGAAATTTGCACACCACAACTATTTTGCTGCCGCGCGAAAGCGTGCTAACCCTTCGGACGAGAGAAGATCGACCAACCCAACCTCGAGACGTGCAATTGCATCTGGGAGGCACTGAAACCACGCTTTTCTAGCTTCCGATATATATACACACACTTCCGATGTTTTTGACAATATCCTCGAGGGGAGACCGAGGTTTTCTAGTGCAATCGCACACACGGGATGGCCCGCAGTCGAGGCAAACTATCCAGCCGAGGGCAGAATTCCCCGATGACAGAGCTTCGTGGCCGCCACCAGAGAGAAGAAATTGCACCTCCCGTTGTTGTGCAGACCTCTACCGCCCACGCTGTAAGGAGAGAAAATGACGCTCGGAAGCACAATGAGAAATGCCCCGTACGCCCCTTCCAGTCTGAGCCCTTGCGAAGATCTTTCTCGGCAACCTTCTCCTGACAGCTACAATGGCCGAACCCCTGAGTGCAGAACACACTCGCACTCAATCACAATACACGCACACACAATGAAGAGAGAGAGGACAACTGTATTTCGCTCCTGCTCTGCCTCGACCGCTGGACGAAAATTTTGTTGCTGCAAAATTCGCCCGTCCGACTGAGGGCACGAGAGCCTCCAGCAGGGGGTGCTGAGGTGAGACGAGACGGGTCGGGTCCGAGGTGATCAACTGGTAGTGAGGTGGAAGACGGATAGTTTACCACTGCTCCTACAATCGCACTCGTCGACCACAGCGAGAGAATGGACACAATGATGCTGAAGCTGCTGATGATGAGAACAGAATGAAGAACGGCCTCGTGAGACAGACAGGCAGACGACGGTGTGATATTGCTGCTAACTTCTGCTCCTGCTTCGGCCTCTGGCTCAGCCTTTGCTCAGGTTGGGGCTTGTTGAGCTTCGAAATACTCAGGCTCGTAACTACACTCACACCATTTTCCTCAACACAAACTCGAAAGCTGCGAACCCGTGCTGGACGGATACTTGTACAAGAATCGATTGCTTCTGAAGCTCTGATGCTGTAAATCCTTATGACGCTTGGGCTGCGAGGATGGAGGATGGAAGAGGAGGAGAAGGATGCTGATGGTGAGGTGATGATGAGAGCAGCAGCAGCAATCACTGGATCGCTCAAGGATGGAGAGCAGAAGGAATGAGGCACCCCGAAACCGGCGCGGCCAATTCAATCTCTCTCCCCCTTGGCTTTGCCTTTGTTCGGCTCGATGCCTGTCGCTGCTGTCTGTCGCTCTCGGCACAGCAGAGCCCGTTCGGGGCTCACGGGAGGGGAGGGGAGGGGAGGAGGGGTTGCCTCGGGGCCCGGAGGTGGTAGCTCAACCTGTGGGATGGACGACGAGTTTCAGCAACGCACATCTGTCAGCATCCCCGATATAGAACCACCGGAAGGAGGAGAGCAGCCGTGGAACGAAATGTGGCAGGCCCAAAACTCTAAACTATGCTGCGGTCCACGAATAGTATGTGAGATGGGAGGAAGCAGGCGTGGGAATCGTGCCCGTATTTCCGTCTTACAGCCGGATATGTCCGCCGTATAAATGGGGGCGACGGATCTAGCTCGAGCTCCCTTTCGGTGCGTCCCCGCTTCGGGCAGGACACGTGTCTTGGTAGCGACGGAATCATTCCCGTCCGTCCCCGCCCCCTTCCAAACAGAATATGATGATGCGAGAGTTTGTAGTATTGGCTACCGGGCAAATCGGAGAAAGGAGAATTTTTACCGATACGTACGTTACAGAAGGCTAAGGCTCTTGGACCCGTAGCGCGGAAGTAAATGTGAAGGATAAATCGCCGCGCTCACTTTCACTGCACTTTGGACAGGCGAACCGTGCCAGGGTGAAACACTTTTGACGCGAGAGGTAGTTGACAGGTTGACAGGCGCCAGTCAGCCGCCGAGCCAATGATGTTACCGGACGAGCAGCCAGCCGGGTGCAACAAAGTAAAGCAGACCCCGTTTCTAAATTGAGAGTGGTCCCAAACTGCATGACCTACTACATTTAGCTGGTCCCTGCTGCCGATTTTTGGATTCCTCTTCATGAATGAGCCCTTCCCGCAGTGGAGGCGGTCAGACATCAACTTAATGCCTGGATTCAAAATAAGCGATCTTATAATTAAAGTCCGGGAACTAACTAAGGTCGGAGAGATAATTAAGATCCGAGAGGAACCAGCATTTATGAAAAGAGCAGGGGGGCAAATTTTCCCAGAATTTTATGCCCAGCCACGCATGAAGCTTGAACGGCCCTTGGAGGACAGGCAATTTCAGGGTTTACTTTTATATTGAATATTGGTGCTGTACGATAAGTAAAAATCCACTTTTTTTAAAAGGGGCTGACCAAGTCCTGTTATAGACATCACGTAGAGACCGAAAAATACACAATCCTTTGGAATCGGTGTATTTTTATCTCCCCTACAATGATCGTCCTAAATAAAGGGAGCATAGGGATGTGCTATCTAGACGTGCCTTAGTGATACCAGAATCATGTTTATGTATGGAGGTCGCTTAATATACTGCCTTCAATTAACTTTGTAGACAACAGTGAGAAAAATTTGAGTAGGTATCATTAAAAGAATTGGAGTGCACTAGCATGCAGCCTATTTATACAATATAGTAATATAATATCGACGACGTGTCTGAATGTAAGTTGAATGGCTGAATATAGCATTTACCGTACTGGCCTTGCAAGTGGGATATATTAAGCTTGGACTTCATGCTCACCCCATTTCACACTGTTTCGTCAATTAAGCCACTTATGCTCGTAGGCTAAACAAGGATGCGAAGAAGATATTGCATTTTTTATTATCTGAGCCGGGAAACACGCAAGCTTGTTCCGGGTCAACAAATCTTACACTATTGTTTCATGTAAATCAATCAATCGGTCTGCATTCGACTCGCTCGAGAGCCTGGCCCCAGCCCTCGCCTCGTTATTTACCCGGCTGCTCTCTCTTCGAATGCCTCGGTAGAAACCAAGAGAACCAAGAGCCTCGCTCCTCCTCTTCCTCCTCCTCCTCCTCATCTCCATCGTGAGCAATATTGTTGGCTCCACGGTTCCACCGAGAGAGTCGTTCTTCTTGTCGGAACAACAACAAGAACCACTCGTCCTATTCCGAGAGATGAGCACTGCTCGGCGGTGGCTCTGCGGCCTTCATCAGCGCACCGTGTAAGTAAAGATTCACTCGGCCAGTGTGCACCTCCCCCTCTCAGTAACTTCATGCGAGATTTGCACAGGTTGGTGATGAACACTAGATTAGCAGTGAGCAGTGATAATTGTAACATTCACTCCCTCCCCCCCCCTCTCTCTCTCTCTCTCTCTACTCCTCATATGCACACAAGAGATGCTGCTAAACCTCCAGTGTGCTCATATCAGTTAATTGACACACTGTAGGCTGCTTGTTATTGTTGAAGGGGTTTTCCATCATTTTTCTTGTTTACTTGGCCTCCGCTTGTTGTCGATGGGTTTTATAGTTATTAATTCTATCCGACCTCAGGATTGATATGCTTGCCAGATGAATAATTGTTTACTTTTAAAGCGAACGACTTCTGAATATTTTTCAAAGGATGCACATTTCTAATATGGAAAAATATGTTTTTCCTCACAACGTCAATACGAAAGGATTTATGATGACAAATGAGCATGGTCTCAAATTCAAACAACTAACAATCATAAATGGAGATTTATAGAATTACTCATGTTTTTGCAAAGCGGGAATTCAAAGATGACGAAATTCCAGAAGTTCCCCTGCAGTATACACGTTGAAGGTCATCAAATTCAAAGCACGGTAGTTCAATGAAACCTAGAGAGGAGATGCATCGTACTATAGAAACCACATGTGAGTGTATGGATGGTGTTCTCGAATATGAGCATAATCGAGATTTTTTTTAAAAATTGATTCTACAAATGCCATTATAAGGAAAGAAAAATTTGTAGCGTATGTATAATTAGGAATTGCAGAATCAAAGTTAATTGAAACAATCAAGGAAAAAATATACATAACCTACATAAATAAGCTATACCAATTTGATACTGAAGACTATGAACAAAAATTTTAAATCATGAGAAAACTATCGATCAAAAGAAAATTGTAAAACATGAGTATAAATCTTCTTCAGAATGAATTTTTGGTCATAGAAAATGTTAACAAGTCGATGGGCAGATACTCAACTACCTCTCGGTACCTATATCAAAAATCAGGGAAAATATTTTGTTTACGATTAAATACCGTAAATATTTTCTTGATAATAATCTAAGCATCAATCATCCAATAATAGTTATAATCATATAGATACATACCATAGCTGAACAAATTTTATATTTATAGCATCATCTATCAAAACAAATGAAACGAGTTCGAAAATCTTTATCAATTCAAACTCAACAATTCATACTTACAAGTCAGAATGTATGAATAATATGTGTGAAGAAGGAATTTTCTCGCCGGGAGGTTCAATATTATAAAAAAGAAGATTCAAATTTACTTTAATAACAGATAAAGTATCAAAATATGTAGCATATGAGAATAAAATACAATGAATGGAGTAAATGACGTGTTAGACATACAAGACACTTCATCGATGCTACAAACACTTAATTAAGTTAAAGGTCACTCAAAAATTTCTTTGTAATTATTATCATTAAAAAAGAGTAGATTAATGCAAAATGTCATACTGATCATATTAATCACCTGAATAATAATAACCGTTATGGGAATAATTTCAATCTAAAGTTTGAAATATTATAATTATATATATATATATATATATATATATATATATATATATATCAACAATACTAATCCTTTTATACTGAATAATTTTTCAAATAAACAATTTAAAATATAAACGGAAATTATTCATCAGTAGATATATATTATCACAACATCGATTTCAGATCTAGTCCTTGTTATATTGTTCCTTGTTTGCTTTTATGAGTCTTCTATATTTTAAAATATACATGTGGCTACTTTTATAATTCATCATTATTACACATGGGTCGCAGAATAATGATATGAGTATAATTCAATTGCGTTCCCTTCGCTAAAAAATGTATTTTAAAGTTCATAGATATGCAAAATTATTCTTAATAATTCGTATTTATCACCATGTACAACAATACTATGAAACTAGAATGATGATTATTGTTGTATTTTACATTTTAATATAAACTGTCATTGGAATAAAGGCTTTCTTATGCAGTTCAATCTATATGTGGCTTTTTGTTTTACTTCATGATTACATTTCTATATATGATATTTTATTTATCTAATAGATTAATTTACATCAAGCAATAATCTCATAAAAATCTTACATTATATATACATATTTGAACAAAAATATACATGAAAATATAAGCATTACTTTCATACATATACTTGTCTCACCATTTAAAACATGTCATGATTTTTTGAGAAAAAAATCAACATTTCATTTTGTAGAGATGAAATCTCAGATCCTAAATTCTTATAAACTGTTATATAAAAGATAAAGAGCACTATTGATGTTTCAAATCATAAAATTTGTGACAGAACATTGATCATGCATATGAATTATATTTCCAATCTTTCTTTATAAAGAAAACATTGTTGATCATCATGATAAAAAAATTTCCTTTTGGATCAAAGTTTCAAGATAATATCCATAAAATATAATTATTTTTTATCACTATGATATTTTCAAATTTTATTTTATGTTGTATATATAAGATCACTCTAAATCATATATTAAATTATATATTTTCATTAGTTGTATATCATTCACTGAAAAAATAATCTAAAATATAGTATCAAGCATGAAACAACTAAAAAATTTCTCATCAAATTACTTTCATGGTCCTCAATCCTTCATTTCAAAATATTTGATAGTTTATTGTTACAATTGGCATATTTTTGAAAATAATATTAATGAAATAAAATTTATAATTATAATACAATTACATAGTATTGACGATGACTTTGGTTGTATGGTCCCGTTTCTTCAATCCTCATAGTGAAAGAAGGATGTAAAATTTTGTTTTGAAAAAAAAACATTTTCCTCTTTTTTTCATGAGACATTGCATAGCAATATTTGGAATTATATACGTTTCTGTATGTTTCTTTTTCAAGAACTATCTATATAATACACATACTATTTGAACTTTGTGTTATATTTTATATCTATCTTCACGAATGAAGATTTGCAAATATGTTGAAAAAAACGCTAGACAAATCTTCGAGAGTCGATGGAAGTTGTTGAAGAGTCAATGTGAAAATGTTGAACCAATGCATGACTTCTCACTTCTAATATTCAATGTTTGAGAGAACAAAGATGAGACACATATCCTGTCGACTGATGATTATCTATTTTATTTTCTTTTGGTCCCAGCTCAGAAAAGGCATTGTATGTCACTTGCATGTATTGCATACACCTCGGAAGAAGAAGATGTGAGTGACTACTCCGTTTGTAACTTCATTTATCGATTGTGGATGTTTCATACAATTT